CCGCCCCGCTGCCGGCGGGCCCGGCCCCCGCCTGTGACTGCCGCCACGCTACTGCACGCGGCGGCCCCAAGCCGCGCATGCGCGCTCAACACTGGCAGGTGGGCGTGCTACCTCACCTACAGCGCCTGGCGCCCGCGCCGTGCGCATGCGCACTACATGAGTTCGACCTCTTCGCCGTCTTTCCGCTCTGCCCATCCCCTACCGCGGCGCGTTACGGCGGCCGCCTGGGGACAGCCCAGTCCCGTTCCGCGTTGCCGTACGGGTGCCAAGCGGCGACACGTGTGTCTAATAGCGAGCGGCCCGTACCTGGCTGCCGTAGCAACGAGGCTCCTTGTCGGGGCTTTCCCTGGCTCCCCTGGGGTCGCGACCCTCGCAGCCACGCTCCCGCCTCACTCGGGCCACTCGTGCCCCGGTTGCCTTCCCGAAGCGGCCAAGGGGGTCAGATACCGACGAGACTGGGGCTCACAGGAGACCAGCTGTAGCCTCCCTGTGTCGTGAGAGAGCTGATCCGGCGGCTTTCCAGCCATGTTTGCAGCCTCAGAGGTGTCAAAGGGGAGAAAGGTGGCCCCCACAGTGACTCCCCCACCCTCTACCCTTGGTGTGTTCATGCAGCCACGTTTGCACTCTGCAGCCCTTTGTGAGCCCAAAGCAAAGCAGCCGGTGTTGTTTAAAGGGCAATACCTTGAATGGGAGATCCTGCCAGAGCAACTGGTGCAATTTCCTGTATAAATATTGATGAGCCTGGAGAGAAAAGGAAATGAGAAGCTGGCTAGCCAAGCCGGGATGTACCCCATTGCTACAGGACCCAGCCTGCGGCCTTGAAGGCAGTCTCTGAATGTTAGCTCCCCACTGCCGTCCACAGACACACAGACGACATGTCCAGAGGGTCTTCTTTATTACAGCCTTGCACCATGCACAGAGAAAACGTACCATTTTACATGTAGACATCCCTTTCATACCTTGAGCAGAGGCTTTTTTACTTAGCTTAATTTCCTTCTTAAATTTGGGGCTAGTCCTGTCATCAACAGCACCTTAACATTTTGGTGACGCTGCTTGGAGTTGGTATGGGCAGGACAGGTTTAATGCCAGCTGCTTTGCCTTATTCAGTGCTATCATTGCTGGCATAATGTGAAGCTGAGGAGTTTGAGGATTTTTTTTTTTTGAGGATGCTTTTCTGGAAAAGATCCTGCTTTCAGTTTTGAACTAGGGAGAAGTCCCACATACAAGTTTCCTACATTTCTCCCTTTGCATTGCTTGACAAAGGAAATTGTGGCCTAGGGACACAGTAAGCTGGCAGTCTGCTTGATGTTTCACATAATGAAACCCCTTTTCCCTCTTAATTCCTTCATGTTGAATAAAAAAAGGTAATTTTCAGACATTAAATTTAGATTAAGTCATGACTTGGTAGTAAAACCAGCTTGGTTTCATAATAAATATGCTTTTGCCTAATTGAAAACAATTAGAAGATAAAATTATTCTTAAAAGTCACATAGTACAGTGTTATAGAATACACTGTAGTGGCAAACAGTGACCAGACAATGGGATATTTGGTTTCCTGGACTCAAAAGGATTACACAAAATAAAGCAAACCTAATCTTTTAAGAGATCATTCCCTAAAGCTGGATCAGAAAATGTTGCCTCCTTTTGTCGGCAGTTATTAAAACTGAGAAAATCCTTCCTGACAATAAAGTATTTAACAGGATTTCATAGGCAAGATAAGTACACCAGAAGACATTCAGGTGAAGTTAAGAATGCTCATTGATTTACTTTATCCAAACTACTATGGGCTAGGCAAAACTGTTCAAAATACTTGATAGATTCACAGAGCTTTCCTAAGTATGTAATTACCCCACATAATTTTTATATTAGGTGAACAAGATCTGAATTGGACGCAACCATCCTTGTAAAAATGCCAGCCACCTTTCTGTGCTACTTTTACCAGTGTCAAGAGGTGACGAGATGTTTGTGTTTCCAGGCTGAAGTTAGCTGCTGTTGTCTCAGGCATGAAGATGAACTCAACGGGGTCAGCCGGAACCGACTTGGATTTGTTTCAAAAAGCCAGCGTGAAAGAGGATGAAGTGTTCCTTCCAGGGAGATGAGAACAGCAGCTCACCTCTAATCAGAGCACTAATGCCTTGGCTTTGGCTATTCATTTTCTAACTGCAGGATTGAAAGCCTCTCTGCAAAGAGAGGTTGTGCAGTCTCCAAAATCTTCGGAGGTTTTCAAGACCTGACAGAATAAAGCCCTGAGTAACCTGGCTTGGTCTCATAGCTGATGCTGCTTTGAGCAGGAGGTTGGACTATAAACCTCCTTAGGTCCCTTCCAACCAGAGTTAGTCCATGATTCTATTATTTTCATCCATTTTACACATATAATCTTTGGCTTTCTTCAGATATCAAACTGGTTAAGACTAGGTTTGAAAGCTCATTTTTATAAAGCATGGCCAGAAAAGAGTTGTGAATTTAACTGCTTTGTATGACTGAGACATGACCCAGCCAGAAAAAGACAAAAATCCCTGTACGAGATGAAAATATCATGATAACTCTTCAAGGAAAAATTATTAAAAGGGTGAGAAATTACAAGTCTTTTGAAGTATATATCACAGGCCTATATGCATTTGCAAAACAAACTGGAACTGCAAAATAACTACTGGGACATGTTTATAGCACTACAGTCTCCAGTGTGCTGCATAGTAAGGGCCAAGATGACTTTTGGGCATAGTCTCCACTGGCTGCAAGGTTATATGTCATACAGCCTAAGCTGCTCCTTCATGTCTCCTTCAGACATCTCTCCAAATGTGTCACTTTTTTCCTTCATGAGCCTGAAGATGGCAGCCAGCTGCTCTCTCTGAACCCTGTCAAGAAGAAAAGGAGAAGTAGGAATAGCCAGTCCCCAGAAGGCATTTTGAGCAAGAACATCATGGTCAAATGAAACACAAATCCAAATGCAGGTCATTTTACATGCCCTACTGGCTGCAGGAAATCTGCCCATGTGAGATGAGAACAAGATATTCTCTGGTTCTCTTCCTCTACCTTCCCATCTGTCCAATCATCCTGCACATCTCTGCAATTCTTTAAATATGAAGATAAATCAGACTGCTTTAACACCAACTTTGGAGTTCCTTAGAACTTATCTGTGCTCAGAGTTTTTGGATAAGTCAACATGTGGAATTTCATAAGACCAACGTGTCCCAGTTTAGCAGACTCTATAATGAAACCAGATTAAGCGTCATCAGCACAGTGTCCTTTCATTCTGTAACAAGAGTATGTAGATACAGAGTCATTCAGGAATGGCTATTAAGTTTTAAATGTATACACTACCTTAAAACTAGACACTAGACTGCCATCCAGTGTGGACGTGACTTTAATCAGCCACTGGAAGATGAGATCACAGATAGAAATCTGCTTTGATTCGAGGGCTTGTTTGCCAGTGTAAAGTGGTGAGATGGCCTCATATAGCCAGTGATCCCCATGTGGGCCAAGGCTAACCAGTGGACCACCTAGCTCAGATTTCCAGCCCTAGAAAGTCCCATAGTAGATGATTAACACTCTTCTCCCCGTAACAGGTGATAACAGGTGATTTCCCCTAACCTAAAGCAGTTAACCATTGCTTTATGTCCTGCAGCACAAAGATTGGGATCTATCACAGGGCTTTATTTGAGGAAGCTTTATAGGAGGGCTTATATTGGTCATACATCTACTGGTCATCACGTAGAGATACAGAAGGGTGGGCAGCACAGAAATGTCATTTGTTATCAAGTAGCTTGTGAACTGATGTGTCTACAAAATCCTCTGTTAGGGCAAAACAAATGTGCACCTTGGCTCCAGGGGGGGCTGGCTATGGGTTGGGACATTCTCATTGTGGACTCCTACCTGGTTGGAGTCAGATTGCAGCATTGTCTAGCACACCTCATACCCCACTCTCCTGTGTGACATTAAAAGAACTAATGAGGTCCTGGTGCTTTATGGCTGTAACAAGGGAGAAGCAGTTTCTGTTACTTCAAGGCTTATTTTGCCCCTGCATGACTGTGGGGCCAGAATTTAGCAACAACCCAGCAGCTCAGAGCATAGATCTGCTGCAATCCTAGCTCCTGTTTTTTTAGCATCTTTAGTCCCTCCCTCAGCTAGAAAGACAGACTCTGGCTTTTCTTCCACGTTATCACCCTGTCAAGAGTCCTCTGTCCCCATCACAGCCAGCTTTCCACATGGGGCTTTAATACACTCTAATTAATCCATTTAAACACATGCCCTTAGTTAGCTGAGGATAGTCTTCCTGCAAGTCCTGTGTGGACACGCTATTGGCTATTCCAGTAACAGGAGAGGTAGAAATACCTATTGACAGGCAAAACCAGGACACAATCTTTGCTTGAAAGAAGAGAGGACAGCATCAACAAATCAGAACACCATGAACAAGATCAGTGGAAGGAGACAGTCAGGAATGTGCAGAGGAGCCTTTGTGTGCCGAGCTCCTCTGGAGTGGGGCTCTGCATTGCCCCATGCCTGAGCTGAGCCCCAGTAGAAGCAGGGACAGCAGGGTGTCCTGCCAGCACCATTGCAGCAGGCAGGGCACGAAAAAAAGCAGATCCTGGCAAAAGAAAGCTCATTTGCCAATTCTTTTCTATTGCAATTGAAATGCTATTGTCCTAAGGCCAAACATATCCTGGTAATGATGTGGGATCTTTTGGTTGTGAAATCTCTTGGTCACAGGCTGGCTGTCTCTTCTGTAATTTTTTGTGCTTACATGAGTAGCATCCAACTGCACTTTCCAGACGAGAGAAAAGGAAGCACAGTCGCTGGCGATCAATATTTTATTTTAGATCACCACTGGGCACCAGAGGGCACATTTCCAGTCTGGTGTGGAGAAATTCAATACATGGCTTTGCCTCACGTATCTGAAATGCCTGCCAGCTGGGGGGGCTCCACACAGGTCTGCATCCCTCGCTCATTATTTCACAGACATTAATACTGCTGAAACCTCCCCAAAGGCCTGTTTCCTCCTCTCTAAACCTCCAAAATCAAGATCATAGAGAATGTTCACTCTATTTTTTTAAGCACATCATCAATGCATTTTGGCTCTTCCCTCAACTTTAAATATCATGGCTGTGCATTTGAAAAACAGGAATCAAAAAGAGCTGTTACTGCCGTTACTTCTCTGTGCTACATAATCTACAACAAAGGGAGAGCAAAACAAAGATGAAGAGAGAAAAGAGCCTGGGAAGGAAGAGTAAGGCATCAAAAACATGAAACTGATTTCAAAAAGGAGCTTCTCCTATCAAAGATGACCTTGTAAAACAACTTTGTAGTGCTCCAGGTTGTATTTTTTTTATTATTTCAAATCAAACCTACCCCATTCACAAGTAAAATTATTCTCTCTTCCCATAAGTGCTGTCCTCAAAACTACTTGGTTTCAGGAGGTCAAAGAGGATTTTACTTATTGCTGACAAAATAGATTAATTAAGGATTTTCAGAGCAGCTTAATTCTTCTTGATAGGCAATTGAATTTGCATACTTAACTCCCTTAGGCTCTTTGCAGACATTTCAGTCCAAGAGTTTTACGATTAACTGGAGGTTCGGGGCAGTGAGACGTAGGTATGTTAAAGGAGATCTGTGTTAAAGGAGAACTGCTGTGCATCTGTGTTTACAGCAGCCGAAAACCTGGGCAGAGCTCCACAGCCAAAGCAAGCCAGGATCCTGCTCCAACACTGCGTGGCCCCAGCAGAAATAAGGGAAAATCCCTGATTTTTGTCACTGGTCTGACTCTGTTGTTAAGGAAGTCTGTGGAATCATTTATGGGGCAAAAGGCACATGAGGCAGAATGTACCTCTAACCTAAAACTCAGCTTTTCAATGCAAATCTCTTGAGGAAGAAGTTACAAGCTGCTGGAGGCAGGGAGAACAAGCATAAATCAAATAAACTATTCAAAGGTTTATTGGACCAAACAAAGGCAATTTTTACAGATTCAAGCCACTAGAATTACAGTCCTTTGTATAAGAGCCACCATCAGATACAAAACAAACAAACAAAACAAACAAAAGTAAAAAATACCCAGACAGCCATTTGAGTTGAAGAAATAGTTTGACTCGCTGCCACTAGCAAAAATCTGGACTCAACTATAGACTTTGCTTGATGTACATATTGCCATGTAACTTAAACACAATGTATATAAGGCATTCTTTGCATAGTTGGGTGCTCAGGACACAGAGTCAGCCAGCCAGCACCGAGGGGAGACAGCGGCTGTACCAGCAGGATGTTGAAGCAGAGGATCCAGATGTGCCTAAATTCGTATGCAAACCACTGAACACGCTTGCAGTTGTCGGCTGGGAAGAGGCAGCCCAGCCTCTTCTAAAGCTGAAGCCTCCTGCTGTTCTTTAAATAAGCCCTTTTGTGAAGAGTTTGCCAACCCCAGGCGCTGGAAAGGACAACTGTGTACAAGGTTTCAAGTATTGTCTGCATAGGAATTACAAAGGGGAAAAGGGGAAAAAAAAGCAGCCTGTTTGGTTTCTGATATGTTTGCAGTGTTAGCCAAGAGGCAGTCGTCCTGCAGTGAGAGAGAAACTTTGACAGACACATCCCCACCCAGCCTGGTGTTTCTACATCATTAGGGGACAAGGGCCCTCTCCTCACTCTCGCAAACGAGCTGGGTTTGATTTGAAGCCTGCTGTGTCTGAAGCAGGTATACATGGCCAGCCGAATTCATCTGCTATACGTGACAGAGCTGAGGAGCAATGCTGAGCTCTGACTCCAGTGGACAAGCCACAGGGCTAGCAAGAGAAGAGGGCACCAGAGCAGCAAGCGGGGAAAGGAATGGGAAGGGTGTCTCTTCCAGGACCCCCACAATCTCATCCTGAGCCAGAGGAAACCCCATATGCCATAGCTACCTCCTTGGGTCTCTCCTCTTGGGAACCAGAGTAAAGTGAGAATCCAGATATTAACAGCAGCCACAATGTGGTCTCCTGAATCTCCATCACAAGCAGAACAGCTAAACTATCAATCTTCATCACTTCTTGAGCCTTCTGCCTACCTACAGAATCAGCTCTGCTAAGATAACTACAGAAGCTAGATTTGAGTCGATCCAGCTAACATCTGCCATCCCTCGCTTGGACCCCACTTTGTCCCTCCACCCCTCAGAATAAAGCAGCATTGTACAACATTTGAAATCATAGGCAGTTCCCACACCCCAGCAATAAAGAGGAGATTGGCCCTAGGAAAAAACAATTTGATAGTCTGGTATAAGGTCCAGGCTGGTCTGGGAGAAGAGCTATGGTTCACCCGCCCCAATAAAGAAACAATTTCATGGCAGGCCTAATACATGGTAATGAATACAACTAATAGACTTGCTGCATATTTAGTATCCAATTTGGGTTCTGTCTGGGGAAGAGGGAGGAAGGTTCACCTCCTAGGACATCCCAGTCCCCCAGACACAACTCAAGTCATTGCTTGGGCCCAGCCTCAGTTCATGGAGCCACACAACAGGATCTCCTCAAACTTGATATCACAGGAGTTTTTGAAGAACAACTTCAGACCAAGAGGGGATCCCAAGTTTTGAGGGTTTATGGATTTCTCTTATGGGTGTGTTTGGTTGGTTTTGGTATTTCTCTCAAGCCTTTAAAGATGCCAAGGGATGCCTTTAGGAGGAGGCTAGGGACAACTTCATATAGTCTTCAGTTCTGCAAAGAGAAACAGGGAGAGAAGAGAAATCATTTCAGTCATTTCACCTCTCAGGCCGGTTCATTACTATTCACATAAATGAGCAGAGGCAAAACTCAGTGTGTGTGGGAAGGGAAGGCAACTTCCCACGTCAAGGCAGAACAAGCTGCTCTTTGCAAACCTCCTGCCTCTAAGGAGGAAGCACTTT